ATAAAGGTGCATAAATCCCCAGGACCTGATCACGTGTACCCTAGAACTCTATAGGAAGTGAGGGAAGTGATTGCTGGGCCCCTTGCTGAGATACTTGTATCATTGATAGTCACAGGTGAGGTGCCGGAAGACTGGAGGTTGGCTAATGTGGTGCCACTGTTTAAGAAAGGTGGTATGGAAAAGCCAGGATACTGTAAACCAGTGAGCCTGACATCAGTGGTGGGCATATTATTGGTGGGAATGCTGTGGACAGGATTTACATGTATTTGGAAAAGCAAGGACTGATTAGGGATAGTCAACACGGATTTGTGCATGGGGAATTATGTCTCATTAACTTGATTGAGTTTTTTTGTAGAGGTAACGAGGAGAATTATTGAGGGCAGAGTGCCGGATGTGATCTATGCGAACTTCAGTAAGGCATTTGACAAGATTCCCGACAAGGTTCCCATGGTAGACTGTTTGGCAAGGTTAGATCACATGAGGTACAGGGAGAACTAGCCATTTGGATACAGAACTGGCTCGAGGGTAGAAGATAGAGGGTGGTGGTGGAGGGTTGGTTTTCAGACTGGAGGCCAGTGACTAGCAGTGTGCCACAAAGTTTGGTGATTGTTCCACTGCTTTTCGTCATTTATATAAATGATTTGGATGTGAACATAGGAGGTATGGTTAGTAAGTTTGCAGATGACACCAAAATTGGAGATAGAGTGGACAGCAAAGAAGGTTACCTCAGAGTACAATGGAATCATAATCAGATGGGCCGGAAGAGTGGCAGATGGAATTTAATTTAGATAAATGTGAGGTGCTGCGTTTTGGAAAGGCAAATCAGGGTAGGACTTGTACACTTGATGGTAAGGTCCTGGGGAGTGTGGCTGAACAAAGAAACCTTGGGGTGCAGGTTCATGGTTCCTTAAAAGTAGAGTCACAGGTAGACAGAATAGTGAAGAAAGCGTTTGATATGCTTGCATTTATTGGGAAGTACATTGAGTGTACAAGTTTTGGAGGTCATGCTGTGGCTGTAGAGGACATTGGTTGGGCCATTTTTAGAATACTGCATTCAGTTCTAGTCTCCCTGTTACAGCAAGGATGTTGTGAAACTTGAAAAGATTCAGAAAAGATTTACAAGGATATTGCCAGGGTTTGGAGAGTTTGAGCTATGAGGAGAGGCTGAATAGGCTGGGGCTGTTATCCCTGGAGTGTCAGAGTCTGAGAGATGACCTCTACAGAGGTTTATAAAATCATGAGGGACATGGATGCAGTGAATAGCGAAGGTCTTTTCCCCAGGGTCTGGAATCCAAATAGAGGACATAGGTTTAAGGTGAGAAGGGAAAGATATAAAAGGGACTTAAGGGGCAGTCTTTTCATGCAGAAGCTGGTGTGTGTATGGAACCAGCTACCAGAGGAAGTAGTGAAGGCTGGTACAATTACAACATTTAAAAGACATCCAGATGGGTATATGGATAGGAACGGTTTTAGAGGTTTCTGGGCCAAATGCTGGCGAATGGGATTAGATTTATTTAGGGTATCTGGTCGACATGGCCAAGTTGGACTGAAGAGTCTGTTTCCATGCTGTACAGCTCCATGACTCTATTAGGATTCCATTAATTAAAAGTAAGTCAGAAATAGAATGCGGGAACATCTGTATGGCATAAAAAGGTAAAGTTGCCATTGTCCTGTTGGACCATAGGGTTCCTGCCTCAATAGAGAGACACGACTGGTGAGTTTTTAACCTGCGGTCGCCATTCTCTGAGCAAGGGAAAAAGTTCAGAGGAGAGTCCTTAGTGGTAACCTCGACTAGTGCAGGAATTGCACCCTGTTGTTGGCATCACTGTGCATTGCAAACCAACTGTCCTGCAACTGAGCTAATCAATCTCTCTATGTGTGGTATAAGCATATATTGAGTGGTTACTTTACTCATGAAACAATGGAGGGAGTCTTGTGGTAGTCCTCGTTTAACAGTTTATATTAAAAAAAACAGTAATTATAACTACAGAATTGTGTTAAAACATATGTCCTTGCTGTTCAGTTTTACTAAGTTATTGCAAGATTCCTCTGTGGTGAATATAACCAATGTTTAATAATGTATGTCTTTTCTTTTTAAAGCATTACATCTGTTGGTCTGACATTCCTGTTCCCTCCATCTCTGTCACCTTTTCCCTGGAGGAACTAGAGGAGATTGAAAGAGACTCAGCTCTTTATGTCAGTCGAATGGAAAGAATAGCTCGTTACAACTCCATCAGCAGAGAGGCACAGGTAAACTTAAAAGCATCCCCTCACCATAGATTGTATATCTTAACCAATTAAAAGTTTTCCACCTTGGTTTTAAGATGAATTTTGTCGTTCATATAGCAGGTGCCATATATGTGGGTGTATAAGTAGGAAAAGAACATTGCACATTTACTATATTTTATTTTCTGTTGCCTTTGCAAAGTTTACACCTTTTATGGCATTTAAAATGAGAATTCTAAATCTACTTCATTTTGGGAGTGTTTGAATAAAAACTTAGTAAATGTTCATCATAACATATTTGATTAAATTGTAAAACAAATTCACTGCAATATAATCTTTTTCTCTCTTCATATTTATTTAAAATGTTTTGTGGGGAAAAGTAATGTAATGACATTTATGGAATTTTCTTCTCTGTTGTCTGGGTTTTTAAAATTGATTAATTTAAATAATGCTATGCTCTGAATACCCTTGTTTGCTACACTTTCTAGTGTCAGCAGTCTGCAGTTATGCCTTTCTGCCAATATCTTCCATATTCAAAAGGAATAGTGAAAGATGCAGTAGACGTGTTATTGTATCTTTTACTACAGCTAATTTGGAGGGAGACATTATCACTACATTGTAACCTCTCCAATCTACAACACTTGGGACTATGTCATTTTAGAATTATAGAATGGTTCACTTTGCCTAACCACAATGTGTGAATTGGAAACCACTATGGATATAAATAATTAGTTGAAACACAAAACAGTAATAAAACGTTACAAAGCAGTAATACAAATTGTTTTATTTATCCAGATACTAAATCTTCCATAAAAAAACCGAAAGAACTGCAGATGCTGTAAGTCAGGAACAAAAACAAAGTTGCTGGAAAAGCTCAGCAAGTCTGGCAGCATCTGTGAAGGGAAAAAACAGAGTTAACGTTTCGGGTCCAGTGACCCTTCCTCAGTTCTAAGGAAGGGTCACCGGACCCGAAACATTAACACTAAATCTTCCATGTTCACAGTCCCAGAGTAGTGCACCAGAATGATGCTGAGAGTTGCTTGGGTCTATTCAGAAAATTTCCAGATAACTAGTGTTTCTGAACAATAGATTTCTGGACTGAAGAGATTACTTTGTAATAGTCAAAGACTGGATTAATTGTACGATGTATGAATAAGTCTTCCAGAGGCAAGGCTGCAAGTTTCATTCTCCCAGTTATTTTAAAAAAATGAATCTTGTAACATGCTATTTCTTTAAAGCATTGAACTGTTTCTTTGTAATTCTTAAAAGTTGAAATTTGATTTTCAAAACATTTATGATGTATGTTTTAGGAATATATTACCTTTGCTTAGTGTTTACTGATAAAACAATGATTTAATCTTTCAGAATCTGAGAAGGGAAATTGCTCAGCAGGAGTTGATTGTCCAAGCTCAACAGACAGCTACAAGAGCCATGGCTACATTTAGAAGTATGGCTTGATGTGGAGTAACATAAGACTCTTTTCTGAATCACAATATTCTTTGTATCAAAAAGCTGTAATTTGTAGGATATCATGATAATTTAGTTGTCCTGTCAATGTGGAATAATTCTTTCATAATGACTACAGACCATAAGCAATTGCCATTAAGTCGAGGACTTGGAAATGAGACTATTATTGACAATGCCATGTGCTTGACATGTGTAGCATAATAATATAAACATGATTGATTTATTTACTGATATTCCTAATTTACAACGGTGGCTACACTTCAGAAATTCCTCGTTAACTGTGAAGTGCTTTGAGACATGTGACAATCATAAGATTCATATTTATATAGCGCTGTTTTATTTACATTCTAGGTAA